GCCCTGTATTTTGATTCAGGCGGTTTACAACAAGCATTCTGCTCCTTCTGCAAATAATTAAGGGGTTAAAAAAGAGCTGCAGATATCTTATGAATAATCGCTGGGATTGGATTAAAATCGCCCTGAGGTGGTGGAAAACTTTTGATGGCTTTTTTTGTCTCTACTTCCTGCAAATAGAGCAGCAGCAGTGTCACTTACATTAGCTGGAACACAGGAGAGGGCGAACCTGAATCTCAGGTTTATTCTGTAGCAGTTAGAAAAGTGTGTCAGAGGTCAGCCGAGCAGAGCTGTATTAACCCTTTCCTGCATCTTCTGAACCATTTGCTGCCAGATTTGCTTCCCAACAAACAAGGTGTTAGAAGTTGAGATGGGGGAAACTTTGGACTGTTTTTGCTAAATATATCGTGCCTCTTGTCCATCTTTCTTTACTGCTCCTCTATGTCCAATTTGAAAGTGCGGAATTTTGAATATTCATTCACCATAGTCAAATCCTTCCAATTTGCAAATGTAGACTTTTCAATTTAAATTCAAGTACTACTTTTTATGCAAATCCATCGCTGGTGCTCGTGCCTGCCGGTGAGGTTCAGGCCTGGTTGCACACAGAAGCTGCCCGGTCAGCTGAGCAGTAAAAAAGGGAAGAGCTCTTGAATGGACAAGAAAATATACTTCACCTTCTTCTTTAGAGTGGGAGTGGGTTCAAAGTGCACCACCCGAGCAGCAGGAAGAGGCCCTTTCCCAGAGCAGAGCTAAAATTAAAGCTGCCTGACCGGTGTAATGCTGATATCGAGCAGGAGTATTTTTAAGGCCGGTTTGTCGCTTGCTTCCACCAAGTCTGCTGGGAAGCAGCGACAGCAGATGGGATAAAAAAAACGGGGGCTCCGCTCAAAACAACAGCTGCGGACGCAATGGGCAGCAAGAGCCCGCCTGCCTGTGGGTGTGCATGGAGACTGTGCAGAACAAGATCGGCGCTCGGCCCCTTTTTTTAAAACCCCGTTAAACATCTA